TTTTATTGAAGTTTGGGATGATAAGTTCATCTGATATTCACGCCATCATTAAGTTTTCTGCAATGTTTACGAACTTGAACGATTCAAACGAAAATAATGGCATCTTATAGGTATTATACAAGCGATATTTTTCTTTTGTTGTTTGCTACTTAGTCTATAGTCCGGGGGACAAATGTTAAATTTGAGGGGAAAAATTGTACTTCATGGGATACTCACGGCATTTCGCGATTTTTTCTGGGATGATACTACATGATGGTAGGAATTAAATTTTTTTTTTATTTTTCGTCGGACTCAATTAGTTTTCGAGATATAGCGTGTCAAAGTTTGTATGATGTCATAACTTTGACAGGCAATACCTACATAAACGATTGCAATTCACATATTTCTATTCAACACATCTTTTTCCACATCATCGCACTTTTTTCTATCCCCTTTCATTCACTTATTGCCAAGTTTATTGAAATTAGATTGAAATTCCATAATTTGTCACGTGCTAGCTCAACCTACCCTGGGTCAGTCTAACCTTACTTTAGAGAATTTAAAAAAACTATGTATCCTCCAAATTCTAAAAGGACCGTATTTCGAATATTTACTTTTGTAAAAACTATCTTTCCTCAACATTTAACCTGACCTCCGAATTATAAAAGGAACATATTTTCTACTGGTGAAACAATGTAATTCACAAAAAGTGATTTGTGTGCCATAATTTCCTTTAGTAGGTAGTAGGTGTGTTCAATTTTTTTCGATATGCATTACGCCCTTGTTGTCACTAGGTATAGTAAACGCTCTACAAGTATGCATGACGAATAAGATCAGGTATGAAATTTTTCAAGATAAATGATTTAAGAAGGTCCTAGGTAATATTTGAATATATTTCAGAGTATATTTGGTGATACCTATATTTCCTAGAAATTATGAAAATCACAGTACCCGAAGCATTGTGTATAGACTACACAATGTCTAAAGATACCTAATCAATGCCTAATAATGATAATTGCTTTCATTGAAAGATTACTCTTAGGTACAAGACAAATGGCAGAATTCAGCATCTGCACATGCTAGGTAAATCAAGCCAGAAATTGCTCTTCCATCCAACAGGTATTCTCATAACATTTAAATTGTCTCTCAGTTGCAGAATTTTCGACAAGAGAGATAATATGTGTGTCCTATATACCTACACTTCTACCGACTATCTATAAGAATTAACATTTCGTAAAGGTAGACAGACTCTTATATTATACTAGGTATTTACCTACCGATTACTAGAATCTTTGTATATAGACTAACAAGAACTAACCCTAGAATCATTTAGGTAGGTATATAGAAAACTGTTTTTCGTTTTCAAGACTACAAATTTTTATGAATTTGCAAACGACGCAAACAAAATATATTCGATTCAGTTTTTTGAAATTTGTTTATTTAAATGTCAAATTTTTGCAAATAAGTTGAGACTGATAGTTTGGTGAAACTATCCGATATGAACATGTTGAAAATATATGTGAATCTACTTTTTGATAAAAACTAAACTTATTAGGTAATTTAAACATTTTTCGTTTTTCATTTTTGTTATACCTAGATATCATGATTATCAGTCTTGATTACAAATCTCAATACAAAATAAAAACCCAGCAAACATCTGAAATGAATGGAAATCGATACCTATCTTAACAGCTCATTGACGTTGTTTTTTTCTTTTTTTTTCAGCTCGTCGGTAACTTGGATATAGTTTATTTAAATTCCTACTAGGTAGATACCTACAATGGAACAAATAACAACAACAGATGGCCAAGTGGTTCTCCAACCCATACAAAGTGTCGCTCCCGGACAGGTAAGTTATATTGTAGTATAAGATTGAGCTTTTGTAGTAGTTAGATACTGAGTAGTTTTGACCGGAACTATACTCAAAGATTTAGTAAATGTAGGTACACAAAAGCACGCGAATGTAACTTTCTACCAGGGCCGCACTGAGGACAAAGTATTATTGCAATGTATATTCAATGTATTTAAATTAAGAATTACAGAAATGTAAATTTTCAATAGGTTCATACCAATGAAAACTGGAAAAAAGTAGGTACTTATATTAAAAATATTTCAAAAGTTGACGCAAAAGCACATGGGTATATCATTGATCTGATGGTATAAAATAGAAATTAGGATGTTTGTCAGGACTTTCTTTAGTTTGTTTATAAAAGTTGTGAATACTACTAAGTTAAACAACACAACTAAGTTTCATCTTCCTGTTGAAGATGATCACTTGGTGATCAAGACACGTGTCGAGGTGTTATAAATAACGATTTGGTGTTGGAAAAAACTCCAGTAATATTCAACACAATTAAACTGAATTAAATTTATGCAACGATGATGCACTTCGCACGAGGTTTCTAAGGAAAAAACACAAGCACTACAGGAAAATCCTTAAGGCGCTCTCAGAGAAAGTAGTGCCTGTGCGAAAGTAGCGATTCACGTTGGATTTGAATCGCTGGAGATTAAATCCATTTTCTTGGGAAGTTTATTCCACATAAAGGCAGTTCTCCAGATGAAAGAGTTCTTAAACAGTGAAGTTCGAGGTGTACTGAGTTGAACCTCAAAACGATGAACAGCCACTGTATTTCTGATATGTACCGCTCTTGGTGGAATCAAATGTGCCAAGTCACTTGAAAGTATCTATAGAATAGAGACAAATCTCCAACCTTTCTTCGATGTTCCAGGCTATCAACGTTGGACGTGATTGTTCGCGTCTCCAATCAGGCGGATAGCTTTTTTCTGGATGGAATCTGGCAACTTCAAGGTATGTTTGGGCAGAGCTCCATACATGAGAACAATACTCGAAAGCATCAAAAGTTGCTGAGGTGTGTAGGTACAGTTTTCTGGTTCGGAACAATGTTTCAAGCTTTTGAGAAGCAGCCTTTGCAATTCCAGCGACATGATTGTCCATCAAAACAATAAAGAGCATTTGTAGCAGTTTGACTGATACCATTGCAGATTTTTGCAAGCCATGAGGCGATCTTGAGCTGATAATTATTTATATGCGCAATTCCGGATTGGAATATACCTACTTTAGGAAACTCGACTATTATTATTATTATTATATATAGGTATTGGCAGTAACATACTGTAATTTGTGCAAGGATCTAGTTACCTCTAAACTGAGTACCCGATCCTTTGTTGTCGGTAATTTTATATTTATAAGTTTTTTCAAGGTTTTCACAAACAAGATGTTAGTAAATATTTATATTGAAATTGTAATTTGCATTATAAATATCGATATTAATATAAGGAAAAATAACGAACACTGAAAGTAAAAGATATGACTGCTAAGTCAAGGTTCAGTACAGGATGTACAAAATATCTAGTGTAGGTACACCCAATCAGTTGATACACTGATAAAGAGATCACCAATTTTTGACGCCGAAAAAAATAGGTCCTACCAACATTATTTTTGTCATAACTTGCTTTTAAAGTATTGATTCCGAGGACTATTGTTAAAAACAAAAATTAAAGTTTTTTTTTCAAAAAGTACTTCAAAATAGTTTGTGTCACTTTTCCTCCATTTGACGAATAATAACCAACATTCATCTAGCGATTACTCTGTTTCTATTGTATATACAAATCCAATGAATTCAACTTTTTTGAAAATTTTTTCATAAGCTAATAAAATTGATACGTACTTCTTTAGTTATTCGTTAGTGATTCGATTCAGAAAAAACGTTTCAGAACAAAAGTTGCTTAGAATTAGTCAGTCTATAAATTTCCATCCAAAATGTAAAAGCAACCCCCGATACAAGATCAACTTTAAGGTAGGGGATAACTAATACCCAAAAACCATATTCTTGTGCAAAAATCAGAGCTGGAAAAATTATCTGGTATCGTTGTATTTTACATGCAATGATTTTATCCAAAGTTATTCGTCATTGTTATTTTCAATAGTAAAATAATTGAAAATATTCAAAATCATTTCATCAATACTTAGGTAAACGACATTTTGGCATATTGAACAAAGAAAATATGTGTTTTTACACAGAGGTTACCGCTCACATCAACCAGTTTTCTTAATAAGATCCAATTTATACACATTATACCTACGAGGTAAAACAAAGTAATGTTTCTATTATAGGTTTAAGAAACCCTGTGGGGAAATACAGCTTTTGGATGACACTCAAAACCATTCTGTATGCAAGCTTAGTTCATTTCATTCCGTTTGATACCACGAATCGTTTCAGATTTATGAATTATTGAAAAAAGCGTTGCGGATTATCTGCATGTTCTTTATTCTTTACAATAATTATGGAAAACTAAACAATCAAATGATAACATGGTAGCGAAGGGTTGGAAAAGAAAGCAATATTCACTATCCTGTGTTGACTCTTCTAGCTTGGACAATAGCTTCAATTCTCCGAAGCATTACACGAATTACCGTTCGAATATACTCCTGGGCATACCTATTATTTCACTGCTCCATGATCGCAACACGAAGTTCATTTTTGTTTGACTTCTTATACGTCTACCTAGATATTTCCAGACATGCTCAATATGATTTTCATCTGGGGAGCATACTTGATCGTTGCATATGACGAATACATATCGAATGGTCCAACGAAAAGTATGCACCTTGCTTTTCTCCTTTTTTTGTAACTTAACGCAAAAATGCTCGGACAGGTCAATTTTGCTTTTGAGGGGGACACATTTTAGATGTATTTTTCTACCTGTGCCTTCAACCCCCTAGCGAGGGTGAATAACAACCCTAAAATTTTAAATGGAAAGTGGGGTCGAGTGGTATATCATATCATTTGAAAGGGCACAAAATTCTCTTTCCAATGATACCTAATTTGTTGTATTTACTTGAATAGTTATAAAAAAGCAAGAACATTTACTCGATATTTTTGGTGTTAATGAAAATGCGAAAAAAACGGCATTTTTATCACTACTACATTCCTCAATTTCTCTCGTGCGTTTTTTGGTTCAAATAACAACAGCAGATAAGTGTACAAAAAGAATTTTACAGACGGCCGACGGACAGACTTTCCTCTACCACCCCATGGGCATCGAGACTGGGGGTATACAACAAGGAACTCCGACAGGTAGGATTTAATAATTATATTACAGCTATAAACATTTTATTTCATTCCTGTTATTTTATTATTCTTTGTAGTTAGTTACAGTACCTAATTATAAGCATTTATTGTGTTACATTTTTCTCCGTGGGTTGACCAATAATTGACTAAACTGAATAATCAAACTCAACTTTATTTTACTATAAATACAACAAACACTTCAACTAAAACTTCAACTATTATTTGAATGTCTATCGCCTTACTAGATCACTTCGCGTACCGCATTGTAACGTCCACTTGACTGTCTCGATATCCTGGCAGCTAGCGTTTAAATATCGTAATCAAATGTAGAAATTTCTCCAAAGTTCTGTCGAAGTAGGTAGCAATATTCTTGCTGCTACTCGAGTGGCGGGGAATCATCGTAATTCGCGCGCTCTTAGCTACGTCACGTTTGGTTTATGGTTACCAGTGGCGGCCGGCGTTATTTTCTTTCGGTCATGATTCACAACAATTGTTTCTCGGTACAATAAACTGAATTGAATTGGAAAAAAATTTGAATTTTGAAAAATTTACTGATGAGTTCTGAATGAATACATATTCACATATTTGTAAATACAAATTGATAGTTAAATAAAAGGATGTTGAATGGTAGTTACAAATATTTGGTTAAACAAATTCCAAAACGTAAAATTTTCATTTCAAGTTACTTTCAATGAATTGAAAGGAGTATATTTTTAGGAGAGATTAGTTTTTGGGAAAGGTTTTAAGCTTTCAAATAATCAGGAAGTAACACGCAAAATTTTTCCATTTTAAAGGAAAATCAAAGTTTCAAAAATCACTGTGACGTCACTACTATTAGAGATATATAATTTTTTTAAAGTAGAAAAAAGTACATTAGATATTTTATAAATATCTTAAATTCATGTACTACTTGATTTTTTTATTTTCAGTTGTGAACATAAATGGCAACCTAGTGGTAGCAGCTCAAGCAGCTACTTCGAACGGAGTCACCCAGACAACAGTAACGTCTCCCACCACACAAGTCGTGAACCAAACTCTAACCACCGCTTCGCCTAACCAATTGGCTATGGCAAACGGAAACTTAGTCATGGTGAGAAATATCTCTGATGTATTTTGTTTTTGCAGTCTAACAGTCTTAAAAGGAAGTTGTCATGGTTGAAATATTTATCAACTATGCAATGAAGTTAGTATGTTCTAATCCGAAGTTAACCAGCTTATCTTACGAAAAAATTCGACCTACCTACCTATTCAATTTATTGCTGTCATATAAATGAATGACTGCTTTGGATCAAATATAAAACGTTCTTTTCAGAAGAATATTTCGGATTTTTCAGATGGTGCCTAGCTCGAGTGGTCAACAATTCCCAAGAGTACAAATTCCGGGAACGGAATTCCTGGAAGAAGAACCCCTTTACGTAAACGCGAAGCAATATAGGCGAATATTGAAGAGGCGGCAAGCCAGAGCCAAGTTAGAAGCCGAAGGAAAAATTCCGAAAGAGCGACCTGTAAGTTAAAGTTACCACAAAGATGTATCTATTTTCTCTACTACTCTTTCTCGTGACCCTCATTTCAACAATCTTGTGTCCTGTACTAGTTTGTACAGGTCCTTCGCTGGATGTATGCTATATTCTTCCGGACATAATTTGGGTTGTTCATACATTGTTTGCCTCCTATGACGAACTGTCTCTGTTAATGCGGGATATATCATCATCAGTGTTGCCACAAGCTATCTTTTCATCGAGGTAGATTTCTGAAAGGGAGCGGGGTGGATCCACATCCATTTGATGACACCAATCACAGTGATGCATTGACGTCACATGTCATCGCATACAAATTTGGGATCAATGTGTTTCCAAACCATTCCCCGAAAATATTAGCTTCCATGGTCTTATGATAGTCAACATTGCAGTCCTCAAGTTTTTTCCATATCACTTCAAAGAATTCGGACCCATCCTTTACTTCCTCCGCAATGAACAATGATTAGTCGCGATCCTTTCTTTGCAGGCATGTTAGGCGTACACATTCTCGAACCATCAGTCCACCCTTTCGTAACTGTGTCGTGAGTGTTATACCACTGTTACTGTTTGTACTAGTCCAAGGACGCCACATTTTGAACAGATGAGAAAAATTTTAAGTAACTATAACTGCACCAACATCAAATTTCTACACTCAAATCGCGATCTGCTCCTGAACTGAACATGACGGCGATAACCAAAGGCCGCATTCCCAGATTTCTATTCGTCAGCGTAACATGACTTCAAATTTAATTTTATGACTCTTCAGCCAATCACAAAACTCGGTTAGTAAAAATTATCCAATACGAACCGCCAAGTCTCTACAGTCCACGTGGACTAGTTTGCTGCCGGTTCATTTCTATGTGTTTGTTTTTTTGGCCTTTGAGAGTGCCGACAACTTTAAGAGTGCAGAATATCGGTTACTTCGACTATACATATACCTACATTTATATCACAGACTGAGATTGCACATAATATAAACATTTCCATATTTACATTCTCAACTTTAACTAAAAATGTCGAATGTCATGTCATAAACATCAAATAACATTTCACACGCACAGATCATGATCATGGCACTCGGTATCATTGGAAGAGCAGAAGAGCATTGTAGTGTAACTCAGTACTCAGTCACAGAATATCGGAACTATCGGTGTAAGTCTTACAGTAAGACACAACCCAAGGAACCACCGCCAGCGGCGCCAGACACTCAGTCTACGCCAACTTTGCCACGGGTACTCGGCTCATGTAACGCGGTAGATTCAAAATCAAACCTCAAATATTTGTTAATTTTTTCAATTTTCATTTGACTTTCTTTTGCTTTATATCTGAGCGGGGTAGATTTATTTGAGGGGAGCAAGGGTGAAATTAAGTTCAAGAGGGGTAGAACTATCACGTACGGAGTAGCTGTGGCAACAGTAATCATCATGTGCCGCAGTAGCAGACGAAACGTTTAGTACTTTAGGTTCCACTCAACCACGGTCTACTAGCTCTTTGATTTTAAAATTTTAGGGTTGTTACTCACCCTCGCTAGGGGGTTGAAGGCACAGGTAGAAAAATACATCTAAAATATGTCCCCCTCAAAAGCAAAATTGACCTGCCCGAGCATTATTGCGTTAAGTTACAAAAAAAGGAGAAAAGCAAGGTGCATACTTTTCGTTGGACCACTCTGTAGATAAAATGCAATGTTTAATTTAATAATTCATAAATTTAAAATGAATCGTGATATCGAAGTAAATGAAAAAACAATGTTTAGGGAATGAACCAAGCTTCCATACAGGTCTCATACGTGGTTTTGAGTGCCATCCAAAAGGTGTACGTTCTTCACCGTGAGGTGTCTTAAACCTATAGATAATATAAACGTAACTTAGTTAACCCCAACCTTAAAAAGTCATGTATACAAATTTCACAGCTGTCGGACTATTATTCTGTGGGATGGAACATTTTGAGTGAAGCATCTTTTGTTAGGAAAACGAATAAAAACGAATTTTGTGTGTTGATAAAACATTGCTTTTTGTCGAAAAAAATATTGTTGAAGCCAAGGCTTGGTTGATAAACATTAGTTGGATTTTGCACTGGAAAAGTCGACCGTTGAAAAGTTTAAACGAGGTGAAATGAGCACCGAGAACGATGCACGTAGTGGACGTTCCAAAGAGGTTGTTACCAACGGAAACAAAAAAGTCCACAAAATAATTTTAGATGACCTCAAGTTGAAGTTAATCGGGCTACCTGAGGCTCTGAAGATATTAAAGGAATGTGTTGGACATATCGTGCATGAATATTTGGGTATGCGAATGCTCTCTTCGTATTGGCTTCCGCGCGAGCTCACCATCGACCAAAAACAACGACGAATTGATGATTATGGGCAGTGTTTGGAGCTGTTCCATCATAAAAAAACCCGAATTTATGCATCGATATGTGATAATGGATGAAACAAGGCTCTATCTTTTCATACCAAATGAAAACGATCATCATCTGAGGACTGCACCTGGTGAACCGACTCCAGAGCCTGCAAAGACGCAACAGTCGGCTGGCAGGGTTATGGTATCAGTATTGGGAGATGCGTATGGTATAATACCTTGAAAAAGAAAAAATCATCAACAGCGACTATTACATGGCATTATTGGAGCGTTTGAAGAACGAAATCGTGAAAATACGGCTCCATTTGAAGAAAGAGAAAAAGCTATTCCATCAAGACAATGTACCGTGTCACAAATCAATGAAAACCATGGCAAAATTGCATAGATTGGGCTTCGAATTGCTTCCACATCCACCGTATTCTCCAGATTTGGCTCCCAGCGACTTTTTTCTGTTCTTAGACCTCAAGGTCGTCGAAACTTTTGCCTATTTTGTGACTAAAGACAAATCAACTATGTTGAATAATAAAATCAAATCTTTTTTTCCAACGAGAGCCTAAAAACTTTTCAGCCCAACTATTACAATTGTATCCTTGGCGAATGCACCATATGTAGTGTTTAAGCCGCGAGTTCTGAAATGAGTACATAAATAATTGTATTCCCAGGTCCAAGTGATGCAGATGAACCCAGGCCAAGTAATCCAAGGGGCGAACGGGCAACAGATAATGGTACACGCGGTGCCGCCCGGGGGGCAGATCCAAGTCGCCGCCCCCGGCGGGACGCAGGGGATACAGGGAATACAGGTCGTCCCGGTGAGCAGCTTACAGCAGGGCCAGGTGCTGGTGCAGCAACCGCAGCAGCAGGCGCAGCCGCAGCTTGTACAGACGGCCGACGGACAGACTTTCCTCTACCACCCCATGGGCATCGAGACTGGGGGTATACAACAAGGAACTCCGACAGGTAGGATTTAATAAGTATATTACTGCTATAAACATTTTATTTCATTTCTGTTATTTTATTATACTTTGTAGTTAGTTACATGTTACATTACCTAATTATAAGCATTTATTGTGTTACATTTTTCCCCGTGGGTTGACCAATAATTGACTACACTGAATAATCAAACTTATTTTTATTTCACTTTAAATACAACAAACATTTCGACTATTATATGTATGACTATCGCCTTACTAGATCACTTCGCATACCGTCCACGTGACTGTCTCGCTATCCTCGCAGCTAGCGTTTAAATATCGTAATCGAATGTCGTAGAAATTTCTCCAAAGTTATGTGCTGCTTCTCGAGTGGCGGAGAATCATCGCACATTCGTGCGCTCTTACGTCACGTTTGGTTTATGGTTACCAGTGGCGGCCGGCGTTATTTTATTTTGGTCATGATTTACATATATGGACACCTACCATGCCTTTTTGGTCTTCTCTGGATTGTAACTCACGCCGTAGTTCGTCCTTTTCATTATCGAGCCTGATGCACAAATCTTTTAATCGTTTCAATTCGGTAGAGACTCGTTCGCTCTGCGAATCGCCCTGTTTCATCTGAATCTCTAAACTGGCTACTTGAGTAGTAAGTTCAGAAATCTGGAGAATAAAAAAACGGTTTATTTCAATATACCAGATAATGATACGATTATATTATAAATCTACCTATATATTTATAACAAATGTAGAAACTAAAAATATGTATAAAAATTTATATACACAATAAATCTTTGCAGGCATGTTAGGCGTACACATTCTCGAACCATCAGTCCACCCTTTCGTAACTGTGTCGTGAGTGTTATACCACTGTTACTGTTTGTACTAGTCCAAGGACGCCACATTTTGAACAGATGAGAAAAATTTTAAGTAACTATAACTGCACCAACATCAAATTTCTACACTCAAATCGCGATCTGCTCCTGAACTGAACATGACGGCGATAACCAAAGGCCGCATTCCCAGATTTCTATTCGTCAGCGTAACATGACTTCAAATTTAATTTTATGACTCTTCAGCCAATCACAAAACTCGGTTAGTAAAAATTATCCAATACGAACCGCCAAGTCTCTACAGTCCACGTGGACTAGTTTGCTGCCGGTTCATTTCTATGTGTTTGTTTTTTTGGCCTTTGAGAGTGCCGACAACTTTAAGAGTGCAGAATATCGGTTACTTCGACTATACATATACCTACATTTATATCACAGACTGAGATTGCACATAATATAAACATTTCCATATTTAAATTCTCAACTTTAACTAAAAATGTCGAATGTCATGTCACAAACATGTCAATAACATTTCACACGCACAGAGCATGATCACGGCACTCGGTATCATTGGAAGAGCAGAAGAGCATTGTAGTGTAACTCAGTACTCAGTCACAGAATATCGGCGTAGACACTTAGTCTACGCCAACTTTGCCATGGGTACTCGGCTCATGTAAAGCGGTAGATTCAAAATCAAACCTCAAATATTTGTTAACTTTTTCAATTTCCATTTTACATTCTTTTGCTTTATATTTGAGCGGGGTAGATTTACTTGAGGGGAGCGAGGGTGAAATTAAGTTCAAGAGGGGTAGAACTACCCCGTACGGGGTAGCTGTGGCAACAGTAATCATCATGTGCCGCAGTAGCAGACGAAACGTTTAGTACTTTAGGTTCCACTCAACCACGGTCTACTAGCTCTTTGATAAATTTGAGAACCTCATTTATTTTCAACCTAGGATTTCAATATCAAAATAGTAATTTTCCAACTTTTTTTTTCAGAAATATCTCCATGAATCTCGACATAGGCACGCGATGAATAGGATAAGAGGTGAAGGAGGTCGATTCCATTCTGGGTCCGTCAAGAAAAGAAGGTAATGTCAAATTTTCTGAAATGTTAATATATAATTATCAATTCATATCCACTGGTTTTTGTAGAAACAAGGAACGGTTTGCCTCCCTCGTTGAAAAATATATTGATGAAAGTGATTTCTCAGGTTCAACAGACTCAAGCTTCCTTGATACAACGGAAAGCAGCTGAAATATATTTTCATAAAAATGTTTTGTCTAATTTTAAACTGTTAATATTCTCTCTGTTTCCATTTTCATACTTATTGACTATAACTTCTCCCAACGCTTAAGCTGAGAGAACTGCGTTTTTTTCCTAAATATTCTATGACGAGCGATTAAACCAAAAAGACTTATTCCAAAACATTTTGATTACTGAGATTCTGGCAGAGAGGCAGCTTTTCACTTGCCTTGGTAGTGATAGAAGAAATTATTTGTGCGAATGACTTTTAATCGTTACACAAGACTTCTCAGGGAACAAGAGGCGCTGGCGAGGCAACAACAGCAGCAGCAGCAGCAACATCATCAGCAACAGCAAACGCATCACGAAGTTCAAGGTACGATAGGTGTTTCGTACGGCAATATAGAAATGGGCACCCCTATTATCATCGAGGTAAGTAAACATTTTATCGTACTGCTTAAGAAAATATACCTATATATAATACCTATATATAAAATCGAGAAAGGTTAATGCAGTCAAGCTGCTGGAAAATAATTCCATGAAAATCAAAAGATAAATAGATAAGTACTTTTTTGATCATTCCCATATTGATTTCAATTTAAGAGCCACAGCTGTTTCAGCCTATTGGGCATCGTCAGTACCGGGCAGACGGTCCTCGATTGAAGACAAAATGAGATAAAACCAAGAAAGTACTTGATGAAAATAGCTGCGTATTGAAACCGATCAGGTCCTCACTAGATTGAGAAAAATGTACCATAGTCTGCCATCCTTCGAGGAAATAATTCTTCAGGAGGAAATTCAGGCACTGGAAGCAAAGCACATGAGCTGTGCCTGCCTCACCACGGATCAAATCAGGTTTTTTTTAGAGTGTGCAGACTCCTAGCTGACCTGAAAGATCGCTCACAAAATAAAGTAATCAGCTTCATCAAGAAGCTGGATTTATTTAGTCGCGACGGATCGCCGCTAAACGTTTTCCATAAAAATCGTGGACCAAATCGAAAGACCAAAAGGTGCTTAGTGGCCTTTTAGACTGTATCGATTGTACGTTGAAAAAGGATGATAATAAAATGAATAACTATACCTATGATAATTGGGCTTATCTTACGAAAAAATTCGACCTACCTACCTATTCAATTTATTGCTGTCATATAAATGAATGACTGCTTTGGATCAAATATAAAATGTTCTTTTCAGAAGAATATTTCGGATTTTTCAGATGGTGCCTAGCTCGAGTGGTCAACAATTCCCAAGAGTACAAATTCCGGGAACGGAATTCCTTAGTTACAACCCTGTATAATAAGATTATTAATATATTTTCATTAAGTATTGAGCTTAAAGTTTCAAAACTTAAGTTTATAAGGAAGTTAGACAGAAATCAATTTGCAAAGTTGATTCCGAATATTGAAACCATTCAATCACATCGTCACATTGAAGCAATGAAATGTTTGTTGTAAGCAGAGAGAAACAAATTCTCGAAAATAAATCATTGCAGAGAGAATAGGATGCTCCAAACCGGACAACTGGCAAATTGATCGTGTCAAAGAATATTAATATTTCTGTATGACAGCCTGATGAAACAAGGAATTATTTTTTTCCAGGGTGTAATGCCAGAAATGATCAAACCGGACCCGCTCTAGAAGGAAACCAGTAGAAAATTATTAGAGTTTTTATTTATTTGAGTTGAATGTTGAGTAATTTTTCTGTATATAGCTTTACCGAAACTTTGTTTTCTCTGATGGTTGGTTTATGAACTGTTACAAACCTTTGGAAATTATTTTCTTTAGCCTTTAGATAAGGAATTGTTTTGATTGTCCTTCTGTAAGCTGTTTTGATTTTCATTTGAGAAGTTTTATCACAGAAAATGGTGTGATAGAACTTCTCCATAATGAGGTTTAGGAGTTTTGTGAAAAGTTGTTATGAAATTGTTACTTGAAAAATTTAGTTCAGTTTGAATGGTATTTGTTATATTTTGAAAAAATGAACGGTAACACAAGTCAAAATTTTTAGTTCATGAACCTACCTCTACTATTTATCGGGTCTTTTGGACGTCGTTTTGTGTTGAACATGATTTCGTGTTAGTATAAGACCTTTTTTGTACAATTGTTAATACTTTTCTGACTGATCGATTTATACTTAGTTGTATTTAGATTTAAAGAAAAACCATAAAAAAACATAATCATGTTGAAATAAATTTTTTATAAACATTTTTGTTTTCACTACCTATAATTGATAAAATCCATTTTGAAACTCGCTAATACAGTTTACTATAAGAAGAAATCGTGAAATGAATCACAATAGTGAGTTTTACTATCTCTCATTCATGATTATTGCATCAGAATAAAATCGTAGAAGTTTGCAAATAATGAAGTTCAATGTAAATGCCCTAGAAAAGTTAAAATCTCTCTATGCTTTCAAACGGAAGACCTAAAGAGAGTTTCAATTGACATTTTCTACACTACGAGGTCTGTTCAAAAATTTGGTTAATTTTCTTTCTTCTCAAAAAGTATATATTTATTCATTAATTTTAATTTTTTTCCCTCCAAAGTAGTCCCCCTCAGATATGGGATTGGAACGTTGGCACACTTGTGTCAGCGTTTGTCCAATCCTCAAAACAGTTCTGATTTGCACTTTTTGGTATGTCCTTGAGCTTTCTCAGCGATTCAGTTTTTATCTCCTTAATCGTTGCAAAACGCCGTCCTTTCATGGGTCTGTTCAATCCTGGGGACAGGAAAAAGTCGCAGGAGACGAAATCTGCTGAATACGGTGGCTGAGACATGGTTACGGTGAGTTTTTTTTTTATCTATTACTGGTTTTTCCATCTATTACTGGGAAGTTGAAGTTATCACCTTATGAGGCCACAAATGGTATGTGATGTGAAACAGTAATAAATAATTTTTAAATAATATGTTTAATTTCAGAATGTAGTTCTTTTCATCATGTTTTTCAGTAGGGAAAGTTTCCTCATTTTCAACTTGGAAAATAATACAAGATACAGGTAGATGACTACAAAAATTATTTTACAAGCTTATGTATGTTGCCTTAGGAACAAATCAAAATACGAAGTGTTCAATGTTCACTAATAATGTATTTACTCTTTTCCAGAGACTTTTTCGATTTCCCTCAGACTTGTGAGAAATGGGTGTGAATACAAACACACCACACTACATGGAGCTCTTTTGAAAATTTCACAACACAGAACGTCATTATAAAGTACAATGTGTTCAGTTGTAAAACAAGATTCCAAAACAGCATGGGCGAATAAACAAATAATGATTGCTTTTATATATTTTACCTTCAACTTTTTTAGTTTTCTTCAATATTTATTTTTTTGTTAATTCTTTTGTATGTTTGTCATTTGTTTCTGAATAATGGAATGTTTCAGAGAGGTGTTATACAGGGTGTAACATGAGTACGTTAAAATATTCAAGTGACGTATTCCTGAGACAATTTTAAGTAAAGAGTCTATATGAACTTGTGTCCGAAAATTCTTCGTTTCGGAGGTAGGGCGTGGTGAAATTGAATTTTTTAGTTCGCTCTTTGAAAATAACTCTTGCAAAAAATAAGTTATTTGCACGAAATTTGGTACCCGGGGTTTTTTGACGTGGGAAATTATAATTTCGTATAAATTTTCATGCAACATCTGGAGGGCGCTGCGTACGCTGTCATTATTTATTTCAAATTGCTCTAACTTTTTTGGCAGTAAACTTTTGGTACTTTTCATGAAAAAACCTAATTCCCACACCTTTTCCAAGTAAAAAAGGTACACCTTCTCAACAAAGCTGGAGGTAATCGTTTTCGAGATATTTACAATCTTCTATATCGATGCATATTACTTTATAGCCAAATTTGATTTCAATAATTTTTGTCACTCTCTGCTTGCAAATTAAGTTAATTAAATCGAGTAGGCTATGAAAGTTTGTTTATAAAAATAGAAGTTTGCTGTCACATTTTTAACTATTAATTGGTGTAAAGACCAGAAGAAGCTAGCTTAAACCTCCAGAACGTTTAGGTTATTGATAATGCGTTTTGTTTCGTGTCATTTATTCCTCATTTGTGATATCAGAGGGAAGGTATTATTTATATATGTCTTTTATTAGCCTGTATCAGAATCCATACATATTGGTGTGAAGATCAGTTCAGTTTTTATATACATGTACCTCGATTCCAGATCCACGACGGTCTACCACTTTTTATCAGAGTAATAAATAAATGACACTCAAATTAGTGGTGTTTATTATTTAGATTCAATTTGAATATTCATCTTAATATCCATATTAAACAAAAGGTATGATCATATCAGGTGCAAGAATGCACATTTTATTTTTATGTTTTCATTAAATACATGACACTCTATGTTTGTACTAATTAATAGAGTTTATTCATTCATTTAATCAATTGTAATGTAATCATGATTCACGAAATGTACCAAGTGTACCAACAATGGTTATTAAATTATTATTATCTTTACCAAGATTCAATATTTATATAGCAAATGATAAATAGACAGGACTGAAATTAAATAATATATCAACTCCTATATACACAAAAGAGAAGAAATCAAACCTAATCAAGTTTTCGTGAACAATCACCAGTACAACCCGATTTGCAGATATTCAGATTCGGTTCTTCCAACTCAAACACACCCTTGAACGTACCAGATCTCTTGTTGGAATCGTTAGTGCTGGAACTGTCGCAACTACTTGATTTATTTGAAGTAGTAGGAGTCGTCTGAACACCGCATGAGGACGTAACAGTTTTTTCGGGATCTGTCTTTTCCTCTGAAAACTAAAATGATCGTGGAGCTTTAAAGACACGTTTGCACTTTCGTCCATACAAATATGCCAGTTGAGTGGTGCTGTAGATTTACTGAAGATGAAATAGTGAAGTGTCCCTTGAGTGACTAAAACCTCAATTCGAAGGAAAGTATTGCTTTCACAAATCGAAGAGGGAACGAAAAATTTTGACGGATATCTGATCAATATTCTGTGACAGCATTGAATCTATATATATTATCCTCCGTCACAAGAAGGATAACTTGATAGTGACAACTCACTCATCAAGATAGTATTGTAGGTTTCTCCTGGGTCTGCCTTACAGCTGAAAAATAAATGTGCCTTCTGGAGAATAATGTCTTGGATTGTTCATTCAATCCGATCAAGTATCATCGGAGATAAATTGGAGTATCTGGTTTTTAAAAAAACCCTTCGACATAGAATTGATGTACCCTGAACAAAAATTTTGTGGCATACTAGGTGTGATTATCGATTGTCAAACCCATAACTCACTCTCTGATTTCTGCTTTGTCCGCCGAATGGGCAACACCTACATCTCTGCCTTCCACAACTTCCGAATGTTATTTTGTGTATTCCAGTCTTCACTCCTACATTTCTGGTAGACAGATGAATTTTCGTCCATTTTTCAATTGTTTGCGTACCTTTTTCGTACCTCTTTTCGATGACATATTTCTTATTTTTCAAAGTGATAGTTTTACTGTCTTCTTTATTTCTTGATCTATTTTTCTTTCTGTCGCTTTCCTCGAAATCAGATTCAGGGCAACACCGACAAATACGTCGAGAGAGTGGGCTGCGGTATTTAGCGCTTTCTGGGGTTTCGATTAGGGAGGGATTGGATCTACAAGAAAATATTGACTCGTATATGGAAATAGATTGATTGTCATGATCAAAAAACACTTGTTTTTAAAAATTTATACACGTATATGGTGCCTCAAATAAAAGTGAAAATAAATCTACTTTATCTTATAACTTTCTATTGACATTTTGTTGCTATTTTCATTTAAAAATATGGATGTTGAAGTCCTTGGTATTTTAACATTCTCAGAGCACATGATCCTCGGAGTCAATGATAATATCTTACCTCACGATGATTGGAGTAGTAAATGAATTTGATGATAACATGGAGTCTGAATGGGTGAGAGCTGTAGTAAATTACTTTTATAGAATATTAATTCTGTTAAAAGTATCAGTCTGTAGCCTCAAGATTAATCTGTCACGCGTGTAATGCGGTATAGTTTTCTGAACAAATGTAGAAGGATGTTATTTTTGGATACAATGATCACTTATTCTTAGCATGTATTGGGGCTTCAATGAAATAACCTGATCAAAATAACCAAATATAATGTTGACAACAGTCATCAATTTGAATATTTCGTTTTGATTTTTTTTTAATTACCTCATCAATGATTATGTGATTTTTCCGAAAACTTTTTCAATTCAAAAAAGTAATAGCTGGATATTGTGAATAATCGTCAAATAGTCGAATAATGTTATTCCACCACTAAAATTAGATGCATCATCAGACTGACCATTAAATTTAGTAAGTTCTTATGTGAACATTAAATTATAAATTTTCGAATCTAAATAGAAATTCGATATTGTAAGGATTGAAACCCTAGATTTGCCACTGATTAAATTTAGTAAGTTCTTATGTAAACATTAAATTATAAATTTTCGAATCTAAATAGAAATTCGATATTGTAAGGATTGAAACCCTAGATTTGCCACTGATATTAGTTAGGTATTAAATTGCGCAGTCTATTACAAACTGTTTTGAAATATTTTTGTCGTTAACCAGTTGTCATCCTTAGACAAACAACAACTCTCAGAAGACTGTCAATAATCATTTCATAAGATTGTAATTTTGAATTTTCCAATGTCTAATCTCGCCTTAAGGAATTTATTTTTCCACTTTTTATTCTGAACTCATGCCAGCTGAATCAAATTCTGAGACAGTGATTTTTTTTGGCCGTCGGCCGTCCATAATAGCCAGCAACTGAACGTTAGTTTTTCTCTCAATTTTTCGAAAACAAGGGAACGGGTTTTAGGATATTACTTTTCACACCCAGGGGTCGATCAGGGTGACTTTGCACAGAAAAGGTAGACCACGGAAAGAAAGGATTTTGAGGATGGGAACATGAATACATAGAATTCACATCAAGTATCCTTTACAACTTTAGGTTACAATCATTCACGAATTTCATCATAGCATCTATTACTTGTGGTTTGTTCAGTTCCAGTAAGTGCAGTATATTTAACGGTGGTATTATATTTTCCCATCTTAATATTTCCATGAAATCTTTGGTTTGTTCCTGATGTTCAGAACAGTTACAAAATATATGATCAATATCATATATCACATTACATGTGGCACATTTGTTTGATTCAATGATTCCTATTTTGTAAAGATGAGCTGGATAGCATGCATGTCCAAATTTCAGTCTGGTTATTGTGACAATTGTTTTCCGTCCGTACTTCATTTTTTTGTGCCATATTTCCGATGGGATTTTTGGTACTAACCGGGTATACTGTATAGCAGAATTTTTACAATACTCTTTCCATGCTGTTGCCCAATTTTCCTTGAACCTACTCTTTGCTAAGATTAGACATTCTTCAGCGCCACTTTCATTCTGAAGGCGTTGTCCTGTTCTGATGCCTGCCTTTGCCAGTTCATCAACTTTCTCGTTGCCTATTAAGCCTGCATGAGCTTTGATCCACATTAATTTGATATCAAAATTAGCTTCATAAGAGTCTGCTGATAAGAATTTTCAATTCCAGAATATGCGGGCTGAGTTGACAGTATTTTACCTAAAAACTATCACAAAAAATATTGAAAAATCATAAAACTATCTTTTAGAAGCCAGTTCTCAGGGAATGATGAGTTTAGATACTATCCTCGTTAACATCACTATTATTGAACCATAAATCTTTAAAAAAATTGTAATTAAAATAATTTAAAATGAACATTAAAATTAAAGAACTTCTCAAAGAGATGGATATCTTTTGCAATCACCTTCTCTTGCTCTGGTGAAACGTTCATTAGCAATTTCTCTACGCAACTGTTTATTTTGTTGGATATACTCAAATGCTTTTTCCTGATACAGATCTAATTGCTCGGTTGCGGTTGACCTGTAAATATGAGACAAAAAAAAATAAAAAAAAAGTCACATAAACGATAATGTCCTTAAATTCAACACAGAAGATACTGCAACAAAATATAATTTACCACAGCACAAAATTGGTGAATATTTTTTTAAAATTATGGTTGTTAATTGATATTAAGTATATGTGAAATATGCATACAATTAATAGGGACTTCACACAACTAAAATTTGAAAATATATAAAAAAAATCGAGAGTATGCATCAGTCATTTTGAGTTCATAAAATATTGCATACACATACTGATTTTCAAGATGATTGATATCAATCCAATCTACGAAGAAAGTATCTCATCTGAACATTGTGATTGAGAAGATATAGTTATATTTTTTGATTTGGTGACAACACCCTGCAGAGTTCATTAACTAACTTACAATCCCTCCTGCATGTCGTTGATTTTTGCCTTCATCCTGACCACTTCAGACTGAAGATCTTGATTTAACAAGCGTTGCTCAACTACTTCTTGTCTGGCTTCATTCAGCAATTTTTCCAATCCTTCCAAATCGTTTTTGTCTTTGTCCAGAGCTCGCCTTAGCTCTTTGTTTTCTCTCGACAACATATCGACATTTCTTTCTACCTAATGAAAATGGTAGAAGGATATACTCAATATTCTGTTAAGTTTCAGAGACTTTCATTGAGGAAGATGCTTATATATAAATCCTTTATTTAGTCAAAGAGACTAATACAGTTCAGTGAGTAACAATTTTGAAAGAAATCAATAAAATATAAAAATAAAATTGATTTGTTGTCACTTGTAGATTGTCATAAAGCAATAAAGTATATATACATACATATACACACATATATACACACTCATACATACAAAATTGTTAATTACTAATTTACATCTCGTCTCAAATATATTA